CATACTATGAAAGTAGACAGCCTTTTTTTCCAGTGGCTGGTCAGGTGATATCCTGATATCCAACACCCCTTATATTTTACGGGAATTACCAACAGTGATATAGGTAGTGACCTGAAAAGGGTGGCATTATAGAATTTCAAATATGATACCATGTTTTTTCAGTTAGTTCTCTTTCTTAAGATCAGACTCTCAGTTTAATAAGTGAAGTTCTTTTTTGAATAGCAAGATACTCTTCTAAGTTTAATAATAATTATGTTAACTAATTTTTAATAAGCCTGTTATGAAGTTCTTAGGAGAGTTCTGAGAGACTTAACTATCCAGTAAAAACAGTGTTTCGTTCTGTATACTTGTCAGTTTAGGAGTTAAAAATGTTGTTTTTCTTTGTTTTATATTGCCCAGTCTCTTTCTTTGCTTCAAACTCGGTCAGAGTCAGAGAATTCAGCCGAACCTCCTGTTATCTCGCAGATCCTACCCAGTTTCTCAAAGGTAAATATAAGTGAACAAGAGAATGACGGATGTCTATAAATGCATCTTAAAATTATATTTGCTTGGCTATTAACAACAAAGAACGTTGCTTTGATTATAAGAACTTATGAGAAAGAATAATGAAAATGTAATAATACGTTAACAACACTATATCCAAACACCAATGAGGCCTTTTGCCCAATAAAAGGGCTCAATAAGTCAACTAGGATATGACAGACAAAGTAGTGGTTGAGATGTTATTTATGACATTAATGCGGTTTCAGTGACTTATCTACCACTATGCCAAGATCCTTTCTTCAGTCATGATACAGAGGGAGATTCACATTTATATTAAACGTATGACTGAAATCAGAATAAACCAACTGCGTTATCTTGAAGTTACCATAATTCAAGGCAATTTACCAACTGTTTTCAATTGATCTAAATAATTCTGTAGTACTTCAGCATCCTCAGTATAATTAGGAATACCCAATAGATTAAAGTCATCAGTAAATTTCACTAATTTACTAATTATGCTCTTGCCATTATCAGCAATGTAACTAAGAAAGACAAAAGCCCAAGCAGTGACCCCAGAGCATACCACCAGTAACAAAGGTCTAGTTTGATTAGACTCTATTAATAACAATCTTTTGTTTCGTCTTATCACGTTTTTCATTTAAAATGGTATTTCTTTAACATGAAAGTTATCAAGAAATCATCACATAATTGAAGTGTTATCATCCAAAATTATTGATTAATATGAAGCTTGAACTGTGAATCACGTAAACATTATGAAATATTCATTTGGTCCAGCCCATAAAGAACAAGAACTTTTGTCTCTTTATTTACAGAAATTAAAAACGTATAAATGGATAAATTAGCACAGATACTTTTTAATCCACACACAATTCACAACTTAATGTGTACAAGCAAAAATAGCAAATAATCAAACTTACTCAAATAATCATTACTTACTCAATATTCCTCTCCAAAAATACAAGCCCCAATGGCTCAGTAGTAAGTATGGGGGCTTGTAGTGCTAAAAACCTGTTTTCGATACCTATGGTGAACACAGCACAATAGCCCATTGTGTAACTATGTGCTTAACTGCAAACAAACAAATAATTCAAAAATAAATAACTTAATGAGTTAAGCTTTCAAAGGCTCAGCAAATACACGAATATTATGAGTGATAAACAATTAATGAATTAACATGCCATAAAAATGTTAATTCATACTCATCTTCGTTCAATTAATAGAGAAAAAACAACAATTAAAAGTAACAGCTATTATAAAGTAAACTCGTCTTTGAAACCAAAGCGTAATATGCAAATGTTGCACACCTTATCTCTCTATAGTATGTATTTTACAATCAGATATTTTATTTAAAATGTTCTAAGCTCTAATTAGAAACGTCTTACACCCATTCTGTAGCAGGGTCTGATCATAGACACTCTTTATTATTTCATGAGACAGTTGTACAGAGGGTTGAGTATGTTAAGTTAAAACAATTTTGCAAATCAGCAAGTCACATGTGACATGACAACCACAACGATATAAAATTGCAGTGGAATGCTATGTATTAGAACTACATTTTGACATTATTTGGCAATTGTAAGTGGTATAATGTCACCCAAAATTGATCACTTTTGGAAAGGGTATGTAACAGCCCTTTCTAACACAAAATATTTATACTTAGATCATAAAAATGTGTTCATATTGGGAATTAGAATTTACAAGATATTATTTGTACATAATGACATTGAAAAGTAAAGAAATATGGATCACCTTGGGGCACCAAGCCTATCCAGAAAGAAAACTGTAAGAAACCATACCACAGCCATGGTAAGCAATGTGTGACATCTAGAAACAGGTAAAAATGCACTAACGCAGGAAAAGCTGTCCACGTGTCTCAGGCAACAGTCTAAAACATAATCAAAAAGGAGCTCCATCTTAAAAGCAACACAAGTCACATCTATACAAGTGGCTTCCAAAACATATCTATTCAACTGTTGCGTATCTCAAGCACCTGAAGAACAAAATGGGTATTCGTGCTATTCTATACGAAGGCAATAACGTCGTAATTCCACTTTATCTCACCATAGGGCGCGTTGCTAGGGGATGACATCATAGTGCGATACAAGAGGGTACGTTGCTAAGGGCAGAAGCTGTTACCAAGGTTCTATCGGCGGACGGTGTTACTAAGGTACTATAAGCGGGTGGTCTTACTAAATATAGTGTTTCTATAGGTGGATTGTTACTCAGGTTAGTGCAGCCAGATCGGATGGTGTTACTAAGGTTAGTGCTGCTAAGGCGGATGGTGCTTTCATAGGCGGATAGTTCAGTAAGATAGTAAGCTTATCGTAAGGTGTCTCAACATGTGATTAAGTCATCACCATTGTATTTTTCATTTCTAGATTTAATAATATTATGTATGTCTTACAATTATATGCAAAAATTAACATCGCTACATATTCCTAGAAAGTTACTTTACAATTAAAACCATTATTTGAAAGAGGCAGCTATTATAACAGTGTTACATAACTCATGTTTTTACATCACATTGACAAAAGCGAATATGTTTATTGTTCGATCTGTGTTTAATTAAATAACATATACAAAAACGAATGAAGAAGCAAAATTATTTGTTTTATAAAAGACAGAAACTTTTTTTTTTCATATTCCAACAAACATAGTTATTTTGGGAAACCAATATTAGTTTACGTTAAATAATTTGCTCGTTAAAATTTACACTGTACTACAACTGATTCTGGTCTTTACAGTACTGTTTGTTCGACAGTTTTTCTTGGTGAATTTTCTAATTTATAATTTTCACTTTGAATCTCTAAGTAATCATAAAAAATTAACCATTAACAAACTATGTATAAAACGTTGTTTTATGTAAGATACCTTACCCTATCAATTG